TGTATTTATACAGGGTGGCGATTAATTACCTGCGCGAGAGAAAATGCTTGCTCTGAATCTTCCTTAAAGCAATCTCTGATCCATCTGCATTTTATGATATCACAAGCTATCTAATAATTATTGCCCAGAAAAAATTTGGGTGAGTGGCCCTAAAGTTTTTTCCAGCCCGTAAAATGTCGTCGAGCAAAAAAGCGCGCGCGCCGCGGGTATGTACCGATCAAAAGGCCCGATATTTTTTTAGTTTGATAGGTAGTGCCCTCAAATTATTGTTAGTTCGCTGCCTCCGATAACCCTCCAGATGCTCAGGCCATTAAAAGCATTTTTATTGAGCCCTAGCCCTACCAAATAACAAAAATTCTACGACCAATTTCCGCCTGGAGCCGAATCGGCCAGAAGATTTTTCGGGAAGGTGCAATTTCGTTGATGTAGCCCTCTTCTTATTGGTTTGATAGGTCGCATTGTTAAATTGAGGCCGGTTCTGAAGAATTTTGGGAAGTTCTGGGCCAAAAATGATGCCATCAATTCAGCCCGCGGCGCGCCTCAAAAATCGTCAGCAATTTCTAGCATTTTTGGATTCTAGTTTCCTGATAAAGCCTTATGGACCCAAGAACTTTTGGCATATGGTTTTTGTAAGGATTGTCCATATTTTCGCATATTGTACCGATAGATTCACGCGAAATATCGAAAGGACGCGCGGTTTTTAATTCCATTTGACCGATTTCGTTCTCGATACTGTATCTTTTTTATCGTTTCACTTAGGTCGGTTTTCGAACGCTTACTACGTTTGAAAAGAAGCGTGCAACATATCTGAGCCATTTTGGAAAAGACTAGCTACCTCGCATGGCTACAGTAGGCTTCAAAAGTGTGACCATCCGATCAGGATGCGCGTTGTGAAGCTGGAATTTATGTTTCTTAGCTCGTAGTTTTTCGTAATTGTTTAACCCGGTTAAAATTTGGATAGGATGCAGCTAAACAACCACCAATATAATAAAACCACTCTATCAAAGAAAATTTAAAGCCTGATTTTTGGGGAAAAAGCGACGCGCAGGTAATTAATCACCACCCTGTAGTAGGATCTCAATGAGGAGGGGTGTTGCATATTCCTGTGCTTGCCACTTTCATTGCCTTGCCATTCCAGCGTTATTGCTTCGTATATTTGTCAATAAACGCGTATTTTCAATACGTCAAAAATCAATTTATCCAAATATCATTTTGATGAAAATTAATTTTGTCGAAATTTCAATTTATCGAACGTTCTATCTCTTTTTCGCTTTATCATACACAGGCCCCGTAGCGGAACCGAAATTTCGGGGGGCAAAAATTTGGCGACCTCCCCCCGTCGTCACTTTTAAAACATCGGAAAATCCCGTCAATAATAGCGCCGCAGGCAAAAAAATTGCAAATATGCGTTTGCCTACACCCCAATTCATGTGAAAACACGGCAGAAAACGCGCCGCAGGCGGACATTTTTATGAACAATTGATTGACCAATGAAAAACCAGCGCCGCAGGCAAAAAATTTGGAAAAAATAGGCTTCATATAAGTACAAACTATTTGAAAAACAGTAATAAACAGCGCCGCAGGCAGAAATATTTTTGTAACTAAAAATCATAAGGGTGAATTTTGTTAGCCCCTTATGAATTTTTCGAACCTGCCCCCCTACGGGCCTGATCATACACCTCAAACGTTTCGTAATTTAGAATTTCGATGCCCTTTTCGCCTCAAATATTCATCCCAAATTTTCACAAATCGAATTTCGGCAGTATGATATTTCGACAAAGGGATAGAAAGTGAGAGAGAAAATGACGGAATATCACAATCAGCTATCTGGGAGTTTGCGGCTTCATTCGCGGTACTGGTCCGTGTCCGATCGAGACGCTGACTTTGGCTTTCGTAAACTGTTTCCTAACAAAATTCGATTACGTAGTAAATTGCATACCTAGTCATAACGATTAGCTGAATTAAATATCTTTTATAGGGCTCCGCGAATATCAGTATCGAAATGGACGAAATGGTGGCATGGGTGCTATTGCACCAGAACGCAAAGTTTATATATGCTAAAATTATTCAGTAGCTTGGTTATATAGTCCCACATAACGTCGGAAACTTGCAGAAATTGCGCGAAAGCAGACCTTGGTCCATATTGAGCTGAAAGATCTGCACGCCACTTATGAAGATGCCAGGGTAAAGCAGTGTCATGTAGGGAATTAGCAGCTAAAAAAAATAATATTTTACTGGCGATTATATATTCATTAATAATTCATATTAATGAAAAAGGATATTCATCAATGCTTTGGGCACGCAAGAGTCACATAGTACGCACCTGAAAAAGCAGCCCCTTCAGCAATTTAAGCTGCAAGCGACGAGTCTGGGGACTCAAGGACAAGTTTTTGTCGAGCATCCAGAAAGCGTGCCAGAAGAAGAAGACGCCCTAAACGTGGGCAAGGTCGGATTAGTGATTAAACATTTAGACGTCACGGAAATTGCCCAAGTTTTAAGGCGGTGAAAAAGACGTGGCGATTACGACAGGTGATTTGAAGGGTGTTTACCCACAAAAACAAGGCTTTCAACGCCCATCAGGATGGCGATCAGAGCCGCATTCATTCGTAGCGTGAGCCCGGTGAGGGGATAAATTCCGGGCGCGGCTCCGAAGAAGAAGTCGTCGTAGTTCCGCACGAAACTGTACTGCGGATATTCCTAACAAGATGGATTTCAAGAAAAGCCATATTAAAGGTACACCAAAGTCGGGTTATGTTCATTTTTCCTAAAAATCATTTTTCCTAAATTCATTTTTCCTAAAAATCATTTTTCCTAAAAATCATTTTTCCTAAAAGTCATTGTTCCTAAAACTCATTTTTCCTAAAGTTCATTTTTCCTAAAATTTTTCGTTCAATAGGGATGTGTAAAAATATCAAGGAATTCCAAATGCTATAATTTTTAGCAGTATTTGTTTGGTTTGGTTATTAGTAGGCTTTTATCGAAAATCTTTCTTATTATCATTGATCCTTTTCACTTCCAATCACCCAAATCTAGGCTAAACGCGCAACTAAAATACTTCCTATGCATCACTCTAGGCAGATCTGACCTTATTATAAAAAAATTTTCGTTTTTCTCAAGCATAGTACGGTATTTAACCGATTTTAGGAAAAATGAACTTTAGGAAAAATGCTTTTTAGGAAAAATGATTTTTAGGAAAAATGAATTTAGGAAAAATTATTTTTAGGAAAAATGAATTTAGGAAAAATGATTTTTAGGAAAAATGAATTTAGGAAAAATGAATTTAGGAAAAATGATTTTTAGGAAAAATGACTCTTAGGAAAAATGATTTTTAGGAAAAATGACTTTTAGGAAAAATGAATTTAGGAAAAATGAATTTAGGAAAAATGATTTTTAGGAAAATTAACGGAGTTCACCAAAGTCTCGTTGGGTTGGTTACTGGCCGGTAACCGTCCGCGGGATAGCAAACAGGGTAGGGGCGTAAAAATATCAAGGAATTCCAAATGCTGTAATTTTTAGCAGTATTTGTTTGGTTTGGTTATTAGTAGGCTTTTATCGAAAATCTTTCTTATTATCATTGATCCTTTTCACTTCCAATCACCCAAATCTAGGCTAAACGCGCAACTAAAATACTTCCTATGCATCACTCTAGGCAGATCTGACCTTATTATAAAAAATTTTCGATTTTCTCAAGCATAGTACGGTATTTAACTGATTTTAGGAAAAATGAACTTTAGGAAAAATGATTTTTAGGAAAAATGATTTTTGGGAAAAATGAATTTAAGAAAAATGAATTTAAGAAAAATGAATTTAGGAAAAATGATTTTTAGGAAAAATGACTCTTAGGAAAAATGATTTTTAGGAAAAATGACTTTTAGGAAAAATGATTTTTAGGAAAAATGATTTTTAGGAAAAATGATTTTTAGGAAAAATGAATTTAGGAAAAATGATTTTTAGGAAAAATGACTGGAGTTCACCAAAGTCTCGTTGGGTTGGTTACTGGCCGGTAACCGTCCGCGGGGTAGCAAACAAGGTAGGAGCTCGCCGCGGAGCAAAACCGAACCTGCGCCACTCGCCTGGGGCAAGCGCTTTAGACCACTAGGCCATGGGGCAGACGGGAGAGGGGAGAGGGAAGGGGGATAGGAGGGTTCCGAGCGAGAATTCCCGACCGCGACCTCACTTTTTGTATGAGATTTTATTGTACCTTTAAAGATGGTTACTTGCAAAATGCCGAAAATCATAATGCGGAATGCATAATTTCTGACCTCGAGAATCTGCTCTCGCAGTGCAGCCCCGTTCAGCTCACACTGGGCCATAAAAAGTGTGTGCACGAAGGAGACGTCGAAAAAGAGATAGTGGATTATGAAGAGGAATGTGATCGTCGACCATTCAACGCTTCAAAAAACCGATTTGCCTACACATTCCCGAAAATCAAAATTCCGAAAAATTTCGAAAATTTTGAAAGTGATTTTCGAAAAAAAAAAACTTTTCCGAAAGTCCTCTTGAATATGGAGAGCATACCGTAAGGGATGGCCGATGGGAAGAATCTGGCGATGTCGATAGATGATGCACTGACCCGTTGAGAAGATCATGTGAAAAAATAGCACCGAGCCGATCGCCTAAAGCCTTGGGTTTAACAGATATCCTGGACTACGCCCCGATTAACATCATTCCAACGGACGCCTGGCTCGAAAGCCATTATCCCAAAAAATGCGTCTATTTTGCATAGCCAAAAATCATAGAGAAAAGTTGGATTTCTCGAATATCGTGGCGATTTTGTGATTAAGTTCATTGATTAAAACCAAATGAAAATTGGGCAATTTTTCACGGTGGTGGCGTACTCCATCCCAAACTTACCCAAGCCGTCCTTATATTAATTCGAAAAAGCGTAAACAGCCACCCGGTCAGCCTCCCGATAAGGGCCGGAAAAAACACTTGCGGTTCGAGGCCGTGCATCAAAAACTCGTACGTCGTTGACCAAAGCTAAAATTCCGGCATTTTGTTCCCGAGTATCGCTGATACCTGGTAGTATAGCAAGTGATATTTATAATCTTGCATGAAGGGCGGGGACTTTCGTAAAATAATATACACGGCGAGGCCGTTCAACGCGATGCCGATTATGAAGCAGAAGCGCATCGAGAGGATGTAGACAATGGGGTACTCGTAGACCAACGGTTCCATTTATGCGAAAATCAATGGCCCCGCGTCAGCCTGGAAATATCCACGACGAGTGGCGCGGCAGGTGCTTTTAAAGGGATGCCCAACCTTTCCGAGAGTCAAAAAGCAAGAACTATGCCGCGGGTGGGGGTCGAACCCGGGGCCCCCGTTTTGTAGGCCTGGATGCTATCCATTAGGCCATAGTGGCAAGCCATTGGGCGGCATGGGGACGCCACAAGAGGGAAAGGGTCCGAATTCTGTGCGGCAGTGGGCCCCCCATTACCGCGCGGAATTCGCGCGTCAGTTGTACTGCCCGGAATATATAACTATATATTTGCCGCCAAAACCTTGGGTATCCCTTTAACTAGACATATTTTTTTGTTTCTCCACCAGCTTGGCAGGTTGAAATTGACAAGTGCGAAATTTCGCACTGGTTTTCGGTTTTGATGATTTTCAACATGCCTGTGGTTGGAACAGGGAAAAACTTCTCGGGTTCGCACGAAATTTGAACGTCGTTTGGACTCCTCGGGAATACATATTAGCTATTTATTTTGCTCCAAACGTTTGGAGTCTCTTTGAGCGATTTGTATAGAATGACGTGGACGGTAAATACGTTCAGAATAGATCCAGATACAAATGAAACGCGCATGGAATAAATGCAAAGGGCGCCATTTTCAAAGAAAAAGCCTGCCATTTTCCGGAAATGCTAGCCGGCGGATCAATAATCGTCAGTTTCCTTCAGTCCTGGCGCGGCAGCTGATTTTTCGCGGGAACATTTTTTAATTTTTACCATGTTTTTGGGAGTGAACCAAAATCCAAACTAGAAAAAGTGGATCAGGTGCCACGCTTAATTCTTTATTGCATCACCGCATTTTTAAAACAATTGCGAAGAGTTTTGCTGATTTCTTCGCGCCGTCGGTCCATGCGTGATCGTGACGCTCGCGTTTGCTTTTGCAAATTGACGTCTAAATAAAATTGATCAAAAAAAAACAGATAGCATACCTTGGGAAGCCGGCGAGTTGAAAAACATATCTTTTGTAAGGTTCCGTAAATAGTATTATCGAAACGGATGAAATGGAGGCGTGTGAGCCATTGCACCAAAACGCGAAATTTATATAAGCTAAAGATGTCGTTTGATCTGTATATATTTTTCGGAATTAACCCCAGGTTAAAGAAAACCTCTAAACGCTTTCTATTAGGGAAGCCCTAGAGAACTTAAAGTGCTGCAGGAATTATCGATTACCTGGATCCACATTCAGTTGAAGAACCTGCACACCGCTGATGAAAGCGCCCGGATATAGCAATGTCATATACGGAATTAATAGCTACAAAATAAGAGTTTTGATGTGAACCTATTTCCGTAGTTGCAGCACGAAAGCAAACCTGAAAAATTAAGCCCTTCAACATTTTCGACTGCAGTCGACGCGTCTGTTGGCTCAAGTATAAATTTCTGTCCAGCATATAGAAAGCATGCCAGAAGAAGAAGACACCCTAAATTTAACCTATCAACAAGTTCAGCTCAAAATCGAGTTAAGATTTTCCAGAAGAAGACTCGAAGTAGTGTAGCTTTAGGTAATTATCACTTACAAAAATCAGACTTTCCACGCCCATAAGGATGGCGATGACGGCCGCATTAATTTGTATCGTAAGTCCGGTGAGAGGATAGAAGCCGGAGGCGTCTCCAAAGAAGAAGTCGTCATATTCTCTGACGAAAATATACTGTGGATATTCCTTAAAATTGTATTTTAATTTAGGCAACGAAAATACAGAGTGAGATAACGAGAGAGATAGAGAGAGAGAGAGAGAGAGAGAGAGAGAGAGAGAAACAGAAGAGCCTAGAGACCGTACAAGCAAGTTAAACAAGTTCAGCAATTTAAGCAAACCTCCAGAATCTTGTTCTTTAGAGCCGGCCCGTTGAGCTCACACTTTCCATACGAGAGCGTATGCACGAAGGCGAGGTCGTAAAATAGGTAGTGAAACGCGAAGATTATTGAGATCGTCGCCCATTCAACCCTAAAAAAATCGATTCAATCACGAGGAAAACGATAGTCATACCGTAACCAATGACCGATCGGCAGGATTTGACGATGCCGGTATATGATGCACTGACCCGTTGAGAAGATCATGTGGAAAAATAGAACGGAGCCGATTTGCTGAAAGACTTTTTATAGATTTTAATGGTTGGGCTTTAAACACTACGCTAAAATGCAATTCACATGAGTGGAGATGGCTATGGTAGTGGGTATAGTAGACAGGCTGTCCCAATTAAAACACACCCCCTCTAACTCGACGCAGAAGGGTCGGATCGGAACGGTAGTTACACCATTCGTAAGTCCGTGAAACGCCAAATTTGCAACAACCAGATGGTTACAGTCGCTTCGCGACTGCAACCATCTGGCCTTCGGGCTACCCTACATGTCCAACTCCACTACATCCTTTACCACCTCCATCAATACCCCCGATAGCCGGAATCCCCTTCAAAAACTACCTAAATACCTTCCCGATGGCTTAAGATACCTCCCCTAGCCGAAATCCCCTTCAAAAACTACCTAAATACCTTCCCGATGGCTTAAGATACCTCCCCTAGCCGAAATCCCCTTCAAAAACTACCTAAATACCTTCCCGATGGCTTAAGATACCTCCCCTAGCCGAAATCCCCTTCAAAAACTACCTAAATACCTTCCCGATGGCTTAAGATACCTCCCTAGCCGAAATCCCCTTCAAAAACTACCTAAATACCTTCCCGATGGCTTAAGATACCTCCCCTAGCCGAAATCCTTTTAAAAAACGAAAATAACGACCGACCGAATGGAATGAGAGAAAAAAAATGAAATCCCCCGTGAAAATTTTCATCCACGAAACGCGCGCCACCTGGCTCACTATGTCCAAAATCACCCGCAACCTCCGTCCCCCACCCCTTTTACTAAGGAAAAAACTTTCAAAGTTAATTTTAATAATTTAAATTAAAACCTTTTCATAATTTTTTGATCAGTTTGGGGGTTTCTGACCACGCTCTATCCGAATCCGAAGAGAGCTAAGCTCTAGCTCCTTCCCCCTTCGAGTTGAATTCGGGACATGACGGACGGACAGACACCACAGCAAAATTATTATAGCAGATCTTCAAAACCATGTTTTTATTTAAGGCCTCGATCTTACAAGTCATTTTGTAAAACTTTTCAGTTTTTTAGGGTTGCATACAAGCTAGCTTGCCTCAAATTCTCCATACAAAATGACCGGAAGTAGCCGTTAATTGGATGCAGAGACCGTTCCTTAATGTTTTTAAATACGTTGTAAAATAAAGACATGAGTTTGAAGATTGTTGCAAACTCGCCGTTTCAAGGGCTTTGGAATGGCATCATAACCATTCAGGTCCGATCGTTTTGCGTCGATTTAGAGGAAGGTGTTTTTTATTGGGACACCCTGTACACCACTAGGTACTCAGTATGGCCTATTTTCAAAATGTCGAAATTCATAATGTCGAAACTCATAATGTCGAAATGTCAGAATGTCGAAATTCAGAATGTAGAAATTTACGTAAGCTAAAATTCGCGGTAAAGTCCCCGAATTCTAAGCAAAAAATCTTGTCGTGAAATAAGATAAAAAAATAGCATGTGGAAAAATTTTTTTGACTGGGATTTCGCGGTTTCACCGGTAATATTAGCCTATGTAAATTTCGACATTCTGATTTTCGACATTCTGACATTTCGACATTATGAAATTTCGACATTGTGCAATTTCGACATTATGATTTTCGACATTATGATACCAAATCACTCAATATAGGCCTCTATCCTAAAAACCTACCCAGGCGGTTAGAATATTAAGTCGAAAAAGCGCAAACAGCCACCCGGTAAGCCTGGCCATAAGAGCCGGGAAAAACAACTCCGGCTCAAGGCCGTGCATAAACACTTCGTACGTTATTGACCACACCTGGAAGCCGATCGATTTTGTATAAAATTTATTCTTCTATCGGCTTACCTGATAGTAAAGCAAATGATACTTATAATCATGCATGAAGGTCGGAGATTTCCGTAATATTACATACACGGCAAAGACCATGCAAATGGAGCCGACGATCGACGATAGCCGCATGAAAAACACGTAGCAAATTGGGTACTCGTACACGAAGAGCTCCATTTGTGGTTCGATAATGGGCGCCAAGGCAGTATGGAGAGACGAATACGTGTGGTGTCTCAATATAGAGCAGGTGTTTCCTGAAAACGTCTTGTTTTTTGCGATATTTATTTCCTGGCGAATTCGGGAGCTCAAATTTTGGAACGAGTTAAAGTTAACGTGTGCAAATTTACAGGGTATCCCCCAAACAAAACGACCCTTTCTACCAGTACGGAGCAGTGCCGGATTTTTACGATTTAGGTATCTATCGAAAACTCTTGGCGGGCTAAGAAGAGCTAGCAGGAGTAAATCCTGCTATCTAGCATTTCCAGAAGATTTTTCCGCCGTTTTCATGGTCCATTAAAGTTATGGTATTTTTACATTGTGGAACATCAGAATACGTTGCAACGTTTTCAAAAATTGTCATTGCGCAAATTTTGAAAACAGATTGGGAATCAGCGTAAAAATCTGAACCAGACAGGCTTGGTTTCATTTCAAATTTCCAGTCTCTCTCTCACTCTCTCTCTCTCTCTCGCGCGCTCTCTCACCCTAACCACTCAAAAAGTTCTCTCGCTCTATATTTCTGCGATTTTCCTGGAATAGGCTTTATCGAAAATAAGTGAATTCACGTGGCTAATCATGGATACAGTGGACCTTACTACTCTGAGGTTTGGTGCTCACCCTTTGAGACCAATTCAATGAACAACGCAAGGGAAAATAGTCTGACTTTTGAGGTCTGAGTGTGATTAGAAGGAGTGAAATTGCACAGGTAATACGGTAGGTAACCAGGGCAAACAAAGCACCGGATAAGGTATAGAAACCAGTAATAAACCGAAGGTAGCACAAGATATGAGGAATAGGCGGAGGAAGCTCGAGTGAAGGTATAAGGTTTCTAATAATAAGGAGGTGTGAAAAATATAGGACTTCAAGACATCTGGTGCGCCAAGATTTGCGGCTCGCCGCCCACGGTGCTGTAGATGAGGTCGAGGATGAGGGGCGCGTCAAGGAGTGTCTGCAAAAAAAATAGCGTTAAAGAGATCAGAGAGCGAGAGAGAGAGAGAGAGAGAGAGAGAGAGAGAGAGAGAAAGAGAGAGAGAAAGAGAGAGAAAGTGAGAAGCCGATTACGTTCATACCTCAACGTCTTCACCAAGAATCTCCTGAATTTTGGCCTTGGCTCCCGGCGAAAACCTTAGATGTTTGGTTACGAACTTCAGGAACTCGCACATGGTAGCCTACAAAATTCATTGTAATTTTCCAGAATTTAGAATAGGTTTACCTCTTCAATGTAGATGCAAGCGTTCGGGCCCGCATCGAAGGTGTACGCCGCCCCAAGGGCTTCCGGTTGCTTCTCGTTTTTCTGGCCAGGCTCACTTTTCCTGCTGTTGAAACGGTGCACCAAGTCGATGATCAGCCGTGACGTGTCGTTGAGGTACTGTAAAAAATGGGATTGTATGACTTAAATAATTCAGTTCCAAATCTTCGCATTGAATCGAAACATACCGGCAACGGGGGTTTCGTGTCCAAACAACACGCGTGGAAGTTATCGCTGTCTTTCATCACCAGCTCGGCAAGTTTAGAGAAATCCTTGGCAGCGAACGCTTGGGTTAGACTATAAAACTTGGATATTATTCGTTACCAGGGTTGAAAAGCCGCTTCGCGACTTTCAACCCTGGCCCCGTCTCACCCCATAATATTCCTTATTCTGCATACGTCTCTCGCATCCAGATGAGGAAAAATGAAAAATGACCCTCTCTACTTGATTATATAAGCTACCGCCACTTCCGGTGCATGCTAATTATTTCCTAACAACGCGGGTTCCCGAAATTTTTACAAAAACTAATATGTTATGTTTAAAGCAATTAATTTTGTAAAATCTAATAAACGTGCAGTAATCCCAGAACCATTACGCACCTAATGACTTATCATACGTCGCTTAATACCCTTCCCCTATCGAGATATCCTCCGGACATGGTGACGGAAGTTGCATGCAAAGTGGCACACACACACAAACACTATTTTTTTATATTTATTCGTTATTTCAAAAAAAATGATACCTATTGATGGCCTCATCGACGCCAGCGACTCGCTCCTGAAGTAGGCTGCTCGTCTCAACGGTCATCTATAAAATTCACATCTAGGTGGGGAATTTCAGGTTCGATATATCACTATGGCTGTATTACTATGGATATATTTCGTCAACATCCAAAAAAATCGGCACGAATTACTGTGGTTTTATGATTTTTCGATACCTGCATTCCCTTGGTCGAGCCGTCCTTCTTCTCCTGATCGTTTGCCACAAAAATCAGGGCTCTCAACGAGGGCCAATGACTGGCTGGGAAGAGTTGCTAAATGGAGAGCAATTATTTTAAAAACCGAAGAGAACAGATTCCAAAAATTTACAGAAGACGGACAGTGCTAATTACATCTAATTAATTTTTACTTACCTCAGCCACAGAATCAATACCATCAGCTCGAGTCCCACGACGCCAACGAACTAGCCCGCCGTCCAGTGAGCGAACCGCCGAGCCGGAGCCTAATAGGGAGCATGATTATGAGAGAGAGAGAGAGAGTGAGAGAGAGAGAGAGTGAGAGAGAGATAGAGTGAGGCAAAGAGAGGCAGTTAGCGTGGCATAAAGATCAAGATTTGGGTTGCTCACCTAATCTAGCCAATCTCGAAGCTTCATCCTGGCTGAACCCGAAAAGTGTCTTCATCCCATATGCGATCGCAGCAAATCCGGCAGCACTTGAAGCGAGGCCGGAAGCGACCGGAAAATTCGTAGTGGAGACTACCTGAAAATTAGCGTCTCTCCTGTGAAATATCACCAAAATTCGGAATGTGCTCTTTTTAAGATTACAAAAAATATATCTAAAATTATCACTTTTTATCCTCGTCTACGCTTTTTCCAATTGTAAAACTTAATTTTTTTTCAGTTTTAAAACATTTGAAGTTACCTCAAAATGAAGCCGCGACGATGCGGATGATTCGCGTGACTCAAGGAGCTTCCTGACGGCCTGAAAATAACTAGAAAGCAACGGGCTAAAGTCATACCTGAAAAACTCGATAAAATCGGGTGTTTTCACCACAATCATATTTCTTCCCATTAACCTGTAAATGGAATCGTTGAGTATTTAAAAACTTTTTCATACCTCAACGGAATCTGCCAAAAATTCTGACGAGGCCACGATGGTTGTGTCGGCATTTAGCGCATCAATGTTGAGCGATACAGAGTCGTTTAGAGGAAGAATCAGGTCCTTAAATAAACAAAGCGATTAGATATTTTATACCTTGTTATTTTAATAGATACCAGGGTGATCCCATGATATTCTTCACTTTGCATAATTCTCGCGATTTTCGATGACAAAAAATGAGAGCAACATCCGGCGTATGCTAATTGTTTCCTAACAAAGAGGGTCCTGGATTTTTCAGCAAAAACTTAATTTTAACGTCGAAAACATATAATTTTTCAAAATTTTATTAGCGTGCAGTCATCCCCAGACCATTACGCACCCAATGACGTATCAAACATGCCCTTAACTACTCCCCTTATTAAGATACTACTGGAACAACCTGACGGAAGTTGTATGCAAAGTGGCACACACACACAGACACTATTTTTTTATATATACTTCCGGCGCAACTTCCGGCGTATGCTAATTGCTTCCTAACAAAGAGGGTGGCCCATTTTTGAACAAAAACTTTATTTTAATGTCGAAAACTGCTCATTTTTGAAAATTTTATTGGTGTGCAGTCATCCCCAGGCCATTACGCACCTAATGACGTATCAAACATGCGCTTAACTACTCCCCTTATTGAGATACTACTGGAACAACCTGACGGAAGTTGCATGCAAATGCACACAGACACACACACACAGACACTATTTTTTTATATATAGTAGGATAGTAGGTTTAATCTACGATATAAAGAAGATCAATTGAATCGAAATTTAATTCAATCTCACCGAGTCGCGTTTGCCCCAATACTTGACGAGCGCGATGTTCGCCGACGTCCTGACCGTACAGCTTAACGGTGCACCGTCAGAGGTCATGTCGCCCGAGTACTGTAATAAACAATGTTTTTGCAAAACTTATTGGCAAGGAAAAATCAAAGAAAAAATTATAGACAAAACGAAGGATTGCTTAGCTAATTGTGACAATTCCCGTACCATGTCTTATCAATCGCCCCTCTCGATTTGCGATGCCCTGCGGGGCTGAAAAGGTATCGCGGCGCATTAATGGATCAATAGAGGAGATTAGATAATCCTTATTTTAAGTTTCATGTACTATCTATTGTTATTTTCCTGCAAACTTCGATATGATAAAATTCTCGAAGCGAAAACGACGGAAATCAAATTTCATGGGCTTGCAATACAAAGCCAAGACAGCTCAAAAATATTGAGATTTCATATTTCATTCAGATTTCATTTTTACTGTTTTTCATAGCTATATTATACCTTTTTCATAGCGGCGATATCCTCACCGTTTTAGGAAACGTTTATTAGTTTTTTCAGTTCATTGCAATTTATTGCAATTCTTTGAATCTGGTTGAATTCAAACTTCCGCCCGTAATCTAATGCATACCGTTGCACCAACTTTACTGAATTCAGTCAACTTCTCTAAAATAGCGCAAATTGAAATTCAAAGGGTCTAAATATCAAAGGATTTGTATAATGTATGCATAAAAGTTAAGAAATCGTATGCAGATCTGGGAAATTTTGGTGCCCACTGGCCGACACAAATTACACCCCGGCCAAATTCATTGCGTAAGTGGTTTTATGCAATTGAAAACTGGGCAGGAACAGCAAAAATGGAACGATTAATCTGAAAATCTGTTTTTAATAGATAATTTAAAAGGAAATGTCGGGACTATCAGATTTCGGAAAGAAACAAATCGAGTCGATGAAATGGAGAGTCGGTCCCCAGCTCTGAGGATGAGTCACGCAATGTTTTGGCTTCGGACCCGCCGCCCATCTCGCTATGATCTTTTAGAAAAAAAATCTACCCTTCATTCAGAAAGAAAACAGCGCCGCAGGCAAAAATTTTTGAAAAAAAAGGTTACTTAGCTCTACAAATAGCCGTAAAAACGTGAAAAAATAGCGCCGCAGGCAGCAAAATTTTTGAGAAAATAAAAATCATAAGGGTCCCCCCTTCTGAAATTTTCGGGCCCGGGCCGATTTCGGGGCTGGGGGCCCCGGGGCCGGTATTACGCTACGTCCCTGGATGCGTTTGAAACCAAGGGTATGATGCAATGCAAATTAGTCTAACAATAAAAAAGTGGAGGAAGCGAAGTCTGTAAAGTTGATGGCCCGAAAACGACCTTACCTAAATCTGTTATGAGCGACTTTAAAAAGAGCCTGAATCAAACTGTTCTCCCTCGCTCTCTCTTACTCTCTTCTGTCTCTCGCGCATGCGCTCTCTCTCACTCTCTCTCTCTCTCGCCAGCTGAGCTCTATTGTGAAAAAACACTTTTAAGTAATGTAGGTGAGTCTAGTTTAAGTAAATTAATTAGACTTTTAGGGGGAATCTTTCAGAATCTCGCATTTTCGGAATCTCGCATTTTCAGAATCTCGCATTTTCAGAATCTCACATTTTCAGAATCTCGCGATTTCAGAATCTCACATTTTCAGAATCTCGCGATTTCAGTCTCGCAACTTTTCCAAGGGATTTCCAAGATTTCCAAGAATTCGATGAATGATGATTTATCACAGAGTAGGCGGATCACAACAAATGAATCGAATGTTTGGGCCACTAATTTAAGGAATTCGAGATGATCGTATGTGTCGTACGCCTCGACGAGAGCACGCTGGGCTTGGTAATCGATGGCAATGGGTGTCTGCTTCACGCCCTGTTGCTGCGCCTCGATTAGACGGTTGTCGTGCGTTCCTGGAAACCCCCCAACGTTTCCAGAAACTTCCAAATTCCGAGGCTCTGCTAGTTGTAGTTAGTAGAAATGCAGCTAGTCTATGGGAATTGCGAGATTATGAAGATGCGAGATTCTGAAAATGCGAGATTCTGATACCAAATAACTTTTAGGTAAGGTTTTCAATTTCAAAAAGACCCATGAACCACTGCGTCGGCGATCCCGAAACCGGCAATCTGTATTTCAGTTGACTTCTGAAAACTGCTTGGTTACCTCGAAATGCACTTGGTGCACAACCCCCTACACGAGACAAAAAAAAGAAGCAGCCAAGGCCAGGAATTATACACAAAAACTTTACCACGAAAACATAATTACGAATTTCCAAAGGGCGCTCTTCACCACACTGATTTTCAAAAGCTGAGAAAGATTCCCACAAGTTCTGTTCAAGGCATTTTTTTCGAAAATACGATTTTTCAGCAGTGTTCGGTTTACTTTTTTGCTGTTCTGGTTTATTCGCGCTTTATCTTAGCTTTCCGATTATTAAATCACACTTCCGAATCGAAGGTTATATAATACTTATTCCGATTATTAATAAAAGGTTCATAATGCCAAATTTCATAAATATGAGGATTTTTTTTGCATATGAATTGGTTTTTTTCGGGTGATTAAGTCAGTAAATTTCGACGTTCTGTAATTTCGGTATTCTGAAATATCGATCTTATGAAATTTCAAAAACGGCGAAATTGCGACACTCTGAAATGTCGTCGTTGGAATGTCGACATACTCAGTTTCGGAGTTTTGAAACTAGCCCTTCTGATTCTGGCATATTTCCCACACTTTAGGATTTTTGTACATACTATATTTAATGACTAGCTCCAAAGTTCCACCCGAAATTAAAGCACACAAAAACGGGACGCATCCAATTTAACGCCGCTGCAGTGTAATGTGCCATTTTTGTTTTTCAATCAACGATAAAGGGGGTAATTACGGCCATTCCATGGCTATTAACTGGATGGGTAAACCTAAAGGGTGGGAACCTCGTGACCGTTTGCATTTCATTCCAAGGAACGCTTCCAGTAGTAAATCTTGTTCCAGTTTTTCCAACAAAACATCTAATTCTCCCACCATAAAAACAGCATAACCATAAAGATCGGTAAAAACGTCTCCTCATTGAAAAAAAGTACAGCACTGTCTTGCGGAAAAATGAGGTGTTGCCCATTTCCATTTTATTCCAAAGAACGCTATTTATAAAACATCCGCTTCCGCTTTTTTTGGATAAAGGGAAGGTTCATTTACGCAACGGTGCCCTCCCTAAAAACGGGACGTCGCAGAAAAAACAACTGTAAAAAGTCATGTATGCATTACTTTGTACTGATTTTATAGATGCTAAAACGAAAAAGTCAAGAAATTAACGTAATTAGCAAGAAAACAGTATACTTTCCCTAGTTGCCAAGGGTATCTTGGTGTTTTTCGCAGCTTCCTTTCTGCTATTTTTTTTCGGATACCGTAACCGTTTGACAGTTTTCAGAAACAGAAATAGTTTCTGTTTCTGGCCGATCCTCTAGCCTTCCGGAAACCGAATCTGGACGCTCGCGTCAAGGCCAGAAAGCAAGCCCTTTCTGTGTCGAAAACCGGGGTCGTTGAATCTCCTCTTTGAACGGCTTTGGATTGAAGTGGAAAGTATCATTTGGTTTTAAGAAAACCCAGTGTTAACATGAAAAATATTTGAAAACGAAACTGGCCTGTTTTCTAGCCGCTAGAAACTTTTTGAGCGATGTAAAAAACGTCCCCATCCAAGTTTTCTTCGGGACCTTATAGGGGGTAGTTCTTTTAGCGTATCGAGCACAGTTTCTACAAAAGCGGAAAGCCCAATACGCTAATCCGGTTTTCTGAATTTTTGCGACCTCTCCCCAGACTGCAGGTCTTTTGCAGAATTCAACTTTGGTCTCCGTCCAAAAAACCGCTGGACTATGATGACAATTTCACATCCATAGCGAGTTTCCTCTTGACATTTTTCACTTGACCCGACACAATACGTTAAGATAAGTGCAGAATATCCTCCCAACTTCCAGCAGCTGGAAAATCTTGCCTTTACTACACTTTTTCAAGGTTCACCGGAACCAAACCCCCAAATCACGATCCAATTTCGCACTCCAGACACTAATTTGCTGGCCATTTTTGCGGGTTTTTGTGGGCTGCGATGAGCTCATTAATGACATGTCAGCTGTGCCGTCGGCGGTCCATTTAATAACGAGGTATCTTTTGAATTTCAATGATTTCCTTAATTTGCTGCAACATAAAGCACAAAGCGTCCTGAAGCGGAAGCCCCCTAGAGAATCATATTGTCTTACGTCTTTTCTGCGTTCCTTTTGTCTGCTTCTTGCCAATGTGTTTGCCGATGTTTGACGAGCATTCAATTTTGGGGGGTTTGAAAGGGGTGTCAGAGGGTGTTTGAGGGCACTTTCCGGGCCTGAACCCTGCAGCTAGCACCTCTTAACCTCAAAGTTTTCAGTTAATTAGAATCTCAGAGCTTACCTAAGACGTTTCTAGAAGAGGACCACCACCACCTCGTGCAGAATTTTTTTTGCTGCTGTTCTTTTTTTTTGAATCTGCAGAACCACTTGATTAAAAAACCGATCAGCTTGACATTAAGAAAAGGCTGAAATGCTGAGAAAGGCTGTTCTATTAACCTAAAAAAACCGCGTAATAATGTTTTGTAAAAACTGGGCAGCGTCCCGTTGCAAACAAGGCACTTCCCGATTCTGCAAAACTGCCAAAGACCGTGGTTGGTAATATTCGGCTTGGTTCTGCTTGTTTTACAAGTTTTATAAGGCTCTGAAACATTAAAATCCAATAGCTCTAGAAAGCGTGTTTGCACCGGCCACGTAGTTGTCTGGACCCACGCGTAGGCAGACGTCGATTACCAGTTTTACTAATTCTTTGAGTTGGGAAATTCGTTTAACCGAATTTTAAACTCTAGTGGGGCTTCTGCAAGGCGTTTCCTTTGGGTTTTTTTGTGCGAAACGTTCTGTTTTTGTAAGAATTTTTATTCGGTCCGACGACCACTCATTGTTCCCAAAAAAACCCCAAAAAAAATTTGCGTAGCTTAGCACCGTACCGTAAACCCCGCCGCGTACCGATCCTTGGGACATCCCTTCTATTTCCGAACCATGCATTTGAATATTTTTGTGTACATGAATTATTCGACTCGGCCATTCAGCAAAGAGAGAAGGGTCTTTCCCGTACCTTCCATCCGTCTCTCAACCAAAATTCACACAACGATTTTTAGAAACAGATTTCTGATTCCAAACACCAAAATGTTCACTACAAAATTAGCATCATTTAAGCTGGGAATCGAGCAATGAAATATGTTTTTGTCGAAAAATAAACGAGCCTGGGAACCCGGAAAAACCCGCTGAACATTGTTAAGTTGGACGGATTCCCACACATAGTAATTCGCGATTGAGTTCCGATTGAGTGCATCTAATAGCATAATTCCAGCATAGAATATTTTCTTTATGATTTTAGAAAATGCTGGATCACTTTCTGATATTTCTCAGCTACGGTATTCCGGGTTTCGTCGTGTTGGTGCTGCTGATAATATGCATAATAAAGAAGAAGATGTTGGCTATTAGTTCATTTTATAAGCTATATCTTTATGTGCTGATTGTGGTAAGTTATGGAAAGAGAGAGAGAGAGAGAGAGGGAAAGAGAAACAGAGAGAGAGAGAGAGAGAGAGAGAGAGAGAGAAGGAGAGAGAGAGAATGAGAGAGAAATATATTTTTAGTATCTTCTCACCTACGTCAACACCTACATCACCTTCAAGCTACGAGAGCTCCAATTCCTGACCGATTTCTATGTCGGCATCGAGGAGCGATATTTTGGACTTTATAGGATATTTTATACTTATAATATAGGTATCAAAACTTAAATCTGGTTGCGTAAACCTATTGATTTAGGTGCTTTTCATTGCCAAAGCTTATCCCTAATTCTGCTTCATTTGAATAGGTTCACGATCGTTTGGTTGCCGCTGGCGCATAACCAGGTAATCTAGTCTTTCGATATTTTTGAGATGTGTCTAAATTTAAGTTATCTAAAGTTGAAAAATTGCGCGGAAAATCAGGTAGTAAAAAGGCATAGAGTATACGGTCATCCATAACTATACTGTAAGATAATTTAGATCTGGCGGAACAGTTTCGTGGTCTTCCTCTGCGTTGTCTGCTTCTTTGGCGGAAACTGTCTAGCTTATCAATGCTTATTCGTTACGAATCTTTACGTGAACAATAATGGATACGCTGAAACGTCGGCTGAGGCGGCGGCGGTACGGGAACGCTTTTCAATATTCAAGTTCCTAAATTCAAGCAAAAAAAAGTCAAAAAGTAGACCAGATCCATTAAGCAAAAATCCTTCTTCTAAAGCTATCGTTTTACCCCTATTTCTTTTCAGCAAATCGTCTTTGCCAACAAGGCGCTGAGCCTGTGCTCCCAAATTTACCCGCTGGCCTCGTTGGTCATCAACTTAGTGACGTTCGCAAAGTTGGCGTGGATTCGTTGGAAGAAAGCAAAGTAAGTAGGCAAATCCTTGTGGACATGCCGCAAGTTAGTCCGTATCAAAATGGATTTTTTCAGAATCCCAAATGGCCGGTCAGCCGAAATCAACCTGATCATGATAAATATGGCCACGCTGGTCATGCAACTTATACTGATGGGAGCTGTGGTATGTTAAACGCTTAGTTTCCGAACTCCCAATGAGTCTACCTGGTTCTATAGCTCTCCATCTTCTCTCTCGCTCTCTCGCTCTCTCTCGCTCCCTCTCTCTCTATCGGTCTCGCTCCTACTCTGTCTCTCTCTCTCTCTCTGTCTCACTCTGTATCCCTCTCTCTCTGTCTCTTTCTCTTTATATCTCTCTCTCTCTCGCTCTTTCTCTCTTTCTCGCTCTCTCTCTATCTATCTCTCTCTCTCTTTGTCTAAGGATGGAGTTTATTGTCGCGGTCTCTTAAAAAAACTTTTTCCAGATTGCCATGTCTCGTATAGCAATGGACGCCGGTATGAGGACATTCATGGTCAGTTTTTACGGGATTCGAAACATCCGGGCTCTTTAAGTATCGGAAAAAATACTTTCAGTACTTAGGTGTGAAACGTAGTACAGCTTTTGGCTTATGACATAGGCAGTACAACACAACAACCCAATTTTACTAATTTTTTATATTCAGATCAACCTGGCCTCCGACTTCACGACCCTCGGCGAGTCCTTCGTCGGTCTGATCTTCAACTCCAATCTCCGGCGCCAATTTTTTGAAATGTATTACTATAAGCCGTTCAAGAAGAAGCGTCCCGACTCTTCGAGGATCCTGAAGGTCTCCAAAGTCGGCCTCCCCACCCAGACGGCTGTACTGTGAATAAACCTTCGAAATTCATCGAATTGAGCTTGTAGGGGTGTATTTGTTGGCAAATTGATGACATTTTTGGAGGAGTGGCACAGACCTGAGGAATCGAATCTAATCATTTTTTCGCGCTTAGTTTGATTAATTAAAATTTCATTAATGTTCTTATGCAACAAAATTTATTGATATGAGGTACCTTGACTCACTTTTTATCTTGATCGGACGACAAAAACAGCTTAGAGGAGTTCCATTCATGCTTGCTTCTGGAGTCTTGCAATCTGACATGGCCCATTTGATACTGTCTTGATGTTCCGAACATAAACCTTTTTCGCAGTTGATTGACGACGGTTTTGGAGAGAATTTGCTTTGATGGCCGCCGTTGCCCATTTTTCAGCTGTCGTTCACCAAACGTAAATTTTGAGCATAGTCCAGAAAAACACTTTCGAATTCTGCTCCCAACAGTAAAGAACATTTTTAACAAGTTATTGGGGCTGGAAGCTGCCCCAAACCTTCCCCAGTGAATACCGGATTTGGCCCAGAAACTGGTACGGACTAATTTCCGATACTTGATGCCAAAAACGGAAATAATTGGCCGAATTTTCCACAAGTTCTTCGGCGGTTCGGAAATTGGGAGCTGCCGCAGCCGGACGCAGGTACGGGGCTTGTTTCAATGGGCATGTCAGTCTTTAATCAATCACAAGTTACGATTTCTCTCTCTCTCTCTCACTCGCTCTCTCTCTTTCTCTCTCGTTCGTTCTCTCCCTTGCTTTTTTCTCACTATCTCTTTCTCCCTGTCTCTATTTCTTCTATTGATTTCTCGATCTCACTCTGTCTCTCTGTCACTCCCTCTTTCTTCGTTTCGTCTCTGTCGCTGTCGGTCCTGTCTCCTGTCTCTCTCACTCTCTCACACGCTCTCTCGCTGTCTTTCTTTCTCTCTCTCCCTGTCTCTCTCTGCCTCTCTCGCTCTCTCTCCTCGATGACTCCCTCTCTGCTAATTGTTATTCGCTTCTTCAATTACCTATACTTTTTTGACGAATGACTGTTGCCTGTAACCACTAAACTACGACTGGTATAAGAAGTACAGCACTAGTGCCGTGTCTCATTCAAGTCGTTGTCAAAAAATGTGGAGAAGATTGATTTGGAGCCCTTTCCACCTGACCACGCTTCTGAATTCAAGTTCGAAACGCGTTCGTTGGGTTTTAGATACTTTTTTACGCGTCTCGGCTGGTACACTATTCATCAAACTAGGGAATTCCAAATGTTCCAGTCCTTGCCGATTCTCTGAAAAACAGGCCCATCCCCAGGGATACTCTACCTAGACCGAGGATTGTACATTTTTTTTTGACGTCTGCGAATTTATTTTTCTGGTACTTTAGCTCGAAAAAGATTTGCTTTTTTGTGATTTTTTTGAGAGCGAACTTCCTGACTTTTAGTTTTCAGACAGTTCAAAAAATCTTTTATTGAACTCAGTTTCAAGTTTCAATTTGGTATTTTTCCTCACGGATTCTAAAAATCGATTTCACAGATTCGAAAAACAGCTAAAAAAATCCGTTATTTTGACCCTGTTCCACGGGACGAAAAACGATAGTCCCTGGAGATGATACATAATTTTTCTGCGTTTTTGATGCGTCTTGCGGATCTGCGTCCTCCCACGTTGTAGTGATTTTTCTTGTAACTCACAAAAAATGCTGGATCAATTTTTAAATCTACCTAAGCTATGGTATCCCCTTCAGCTATTTTGGTAATATTAACAATTATATGCTTATTAAAAAGTCCGGCCTTAATGGAGAGCTCCGTTCTATAAGGTTTACCTGCTAGTGATAGTCGTGGTGAGTTTTATCAGCTTTTTCGATTAATTTGTTCTAATCTGGATCTAATATTTACGAAAAATGAATTGAATACTGTTTTCAGAACCTAATTACATACCTCAATTATTTCATCACCTTCAAATTAAGTGAATTAACAATATTCTCCGGATGGTACGTCGGCATCGAGAGGTCATTCACGCCATATCGCGTCTTTTTACCTTCTATATTACTGCTATTTATACACAAAATTTAAATCTGATTTTGTTACATCTGAATCGATTCACGATAATCTGGATGCCGGTTTATGCATAATCGCGTTAGTTGTTTCACTTAAAGGTATAGTAAACCACGAAAACGTCGCATAGTCTTTAAAAATTCTCTTTTCCTTTGCTTTTTCACATGGACGTAGGCAAAATTGATACGCGTCATTTGGAGTGTAGCGTAGCCGCCAATCCAAAATTAACTGAAAGGACGAATTTTGGGTATCCTGCTATTCAATTCTATTAAATTACAAAATTACAGGAATTTAAACGCCATGAAAATTTAATTGCGGAATTTTGACAATACAGTATTTTCTGCAGTGAAAATATATTCTTTAGATCTGGACTACTTGGTTTATTATAGGCTGCTGGATTGTTATGCTTATGTATAGGAGTCGCATTCCTCTTATGAAAACTTCAGCGTGAACAATTTGTATGAAGCTGATGAGGGGGGGTATCCGACGCTGACGCTAGAGGCGGCCAAGGTAGAGGGAGAGAGAGAGCGAGAAAGAGTCAGAGGGAGAGAGAGAGAGAGAAAGCTGAGAGGGAGCCAGGAGAGAGAGAGAGAGACAGAGAGCGAGAGAGAGAGAGAGACGGAGCGAGAGAGAGAGAGGGAGCGTGAGGCCTTATTTCTGCTTTTTGCAGTAGCAAATGGCCGTCGCCAACCCAAATATGGGACGTCTATCCGAGATCTTCCCCGGTATCTCCTTGCCATTAATTTGGCTACCGTCTCCAAGATGATATAAGCGAAGAAGGGGCAAAAGTGAGCATCGGTCACCTAAATTCTCAATAACCTGGAAAGTTCCAGATTCAGCTTCCGGTTTCGCCATCGAAATCCACCTGTTCCTGATTTGTGTT